CTCAATGTCCAAAAATTTCAGCCTTATCATTCACTTCCAAAGAACCAAAATTAGCACAGGGTGAATTTGGAGCTACCCTGCATTTTGACAACTGTCAGATGCAATCAGATTTCCCCATTAAAAACGTTAACAACTGACGTGGCACTGGGTGCTGGTCTCCCTGCTGCTCTGCCTGGCCCCTGGGCTTTATTCTCAACATGGAATCAGAAGGATCCTGTGAAGACTTAAGTCAGATCCTGTCCTTCCTCTGCTCAGAGCCTCCAGCAGCTCCCAAGTCACCCAGAGTAAAACCTTAAGTCCTTACAATGATTTTCCAGGCTGAGTGTTTTGGGGGTAGACCTCACCCCTAGTGGTCTCGTCTCCTATTTCGTCACCCTGGCAAACCCCACTCCAGCCATCTGGGCCTCCTTGTGCTCCTCCAGTGTATCCAAGGGAGTCTCTGGCTCCTCCCCAGATATGTGCACAGCTCACTTTTCAACAGCATCACCTTCTTGGGGGAGTCTTCCTTGACCATCGCCCATGTAAATAAAAAATTTGGGGTTACCAGCCCTCCCCTGCTGGGCACCCCCATTCCCTTTAATTGTTAAATCCCTTTCACTGGGGGCTGGGGATGTGGCTCAAGCGGTAGTGTCCTCGCCTGGAATGCTTGCGGTCCAGGTTCGATCCTCAGCACCACATACAAACAAAGATGTCGTGTCCGCCAAAAAATAAAAATATTTAAAATTCTCTCTCTCTCTTAAAAAAAAAAAAATCCTTTCACTGCACTTATCTGATGTCGGTTCTGTTTATTGGTTTATTTTCCATCTTTCTGTACTGGTATAACAGCGCCACAGGACTGATTTTTTTTGGGGGGGGGAGGGGCTAGTGCTTATCACTGCTATACAGTCCCAGGGGCTAAAATAGTGCTTTGTCTACAGAAAACACTTAATAAATACTTGTAGAATAAATAAGTAAATGAAAGAACTAATAAATCTGCTTACCCTGAGTGTACGAGCTAGTCTTCACGGTGACAACTTTTTTTTTTTTTTTTGGTACTGGGGATTGAACCCAGGGGTGCTTAACCACTGAGCCACATCCCAGCCCTTTTCATTTTTTATTTAGAGACAGGGTCTCGCTAAGTTGCTTAGGGCCTTGCTAAGTTGCTGAGGCTGGCTTTGAACTCCAGATCTTCCTGCCTCACCCTCCCAAGCTGCTAGGATTACAGGCGTGTGCCACTGCACCCAGCCACAGTGACAACTTCTATATCTCTATTTCCAGCTTCAGATCTGATCCCTAATACCCAAAATTATATCAAAATTGCACATCCCAGTCAAAATGCATCACCTTCCCAATCTGCTCCCACTCTGGGTTTCCTATTTCAGCGACAGCTGCAATACTCCTCCAGCCTCTTCCAGGCCAATAATTCCTGTGCCTTGGCCCTCTGGCTCCCTCGTGCTCCATGACTTGTCTCCTCCCCCCACATTTCTCTGTTCCTACTTCAGTTGTGTGAACAAAACCGAATGTCATTTTCCTATGGTCACCTGATCATAAGGAAGCCCAGTAGAGTCATCACCCCATAATAAAACCACAGATCCCTCCCTTTGTACAAACACCTACATGTTGACAGAGCACTTCTGCAGACATTATGTCACCAAATTTTCACAACCACCTGGTTTTGGATGTCATTATTCCCAATGGACAGATGAGAACAGGTTAAAAGAAATGAAAAAATTTGCCTGAGGTCACAGAGTGAGTAAGCTGGGATTTGAATCCAGGTCCCCAAACTAAAATCATCATCAACCTCGAGCTCCCAGTTTAAAAGACTGGCTCTCAGGCAAGTTACATAACTTCTCTGGACCTCAGTTTCCTCATCTATAAAATGGGAATAAAAACAGACCCTAGGTCATGAGATTTTTATGAGGATTCAATGAATTAAACCATGGGAGGCTGGGCATGGTGGAATACACCTATAATTCCAGCTCCTCAGGAGATTGAGGCAAGAGGATCCTAAATTAGAGGCCAGCCTTGGCAACTTAACAAGACCCCTTCTTCAAAAAAAAAAAAATTTGGGGGGGTGGATATAGTTAGTGGTAGAGCACCCCTGGGTTTACTCCCCAGTACTGCAAAAACAAACCAACCACATGGGGTGTGTAGAATGATGACTGGCAGGTTGTAAAACGCTGAATAATGCTAGTTTTCATTATTATCTTTATGTTAGAGATTTAAGAGATGCTTAAATACCTAAAATAAGTCAGAAAATATTGTGGGTCTGTGTATTTTTCCTGGGAAGAGAATCCTTAGCTTCTACTCTCAAAAGGCTCTCTGACTTGGCACTGAGCAAAAGAGAGACCAAGAATATGTTCAGTACTCGGCACACACCTATAATCCCAGCTACTTGGGAGGCAAAGGCATGAGGATCACAAGTTTGAGGGCAATCTCAGCAAATTAGCGAGACCCTGTCTCAAAACAAAAACTAAAACAGGTTGGGGATATAGCTCAGTGCTCCCTTGAGTTCAATTCCCAGAACCCCCCCCCCAAAAAAAAAGAAAGAAAAAAAGAATATGTTCACAAATAAGCCTTGTTCCTACCAACAGCCCTCCCAAACACTCCTCCATTCAGAACTAAGGAATGTGGTTGGCATCAAGAAAGCCACTGTGTGGAGCTGGGGGGTGTGGTTCAGTGGTACAGAACCTACTTAGCATGCACAACACCCTAGGTTCAATCCCCAGAAAGGGTGGGGGTGGGTAAAAGCCAGTTTATGAAAACCATGTAATATGATAAAGTGGTTAAAAACACTACTACTCAGTTGTGATCTCAAATCTCAACATTGTCATTTAATAATGGTGAGAATGACCCTAGAAGTCATTTATTAGTGGTGAGAATGAATCATGCCAGGGCACCACCTGACAAAGGGCAGATTTTTCAAACCTACTTAGCTCTCTTCTCCCACCAGTGTCTTATCCCTGACGGAACACCCTACTTGGAATTCTGTAACTATCTCAGGCCAAACCACCCTTTCCAGCCTGCCTCCCTCCAAATTCACAGGTCTGTGGCCGTAAACTCAGTGAAAGCATATACAAAAAGCACTCAGAATGAAACCAGCCCACATTCCAGAAATGGTAGCTTAGACTGGCCACTTCATTTCCTTTCCTTAGGCTTCAGTTTCACCCTCTTTTAAATGAAGTTGATTTGCTAAATGACCTTCCTGGGTACCTTCCAACCTTGAGCCCACTGATTTTAGAAGGCAGGTACACGACAATGATTCCGTTACAACTGAGGAAACTGAGGCCAGAGCAAGTGGGAACAACCTGCTGAGGGCCACAGAGTGATTCCTAGGGTCATCTCTTGGCCTAGTGCTCGTGTCTCCTTTTCTTCTCTGCTGAGGGAAACAGGGATTGCACTTGCCCATCTCCCAGGGAAGGAAGCTGAGGCCCCAAAGGGAAGGAGACTCAAGGCACTGCCAGATGGCTCAGCAGAATCTGGACCTTGGGATTCTATACCCCCAGTCAGTAGGAGGAAAGGGGAGGGCAGGATCACCTGCAGCACCACCGAGATGGTCTTTTCACCAGCCTTGGCTGCCCGCCATTTCCGGTAAGTGTCAGCCTTGAGAAGGTTCTCTGCACAGTGGATCTGGAGACAGGAGGAAAGGAGAATTAGGGCGGAGATGAGAGCTCGGCCCTCAGCTTTCAGATCACTCCTCTGAGTCCTCCCAAGCCCTCTAGGCTGCCCCGGACTTAAGTTACCCCGTCTGTCCCCCCACACCCCGCCTAGAGTTTCCACTGGAATTTTCCCTCTGGAAGTTAGCTATGGGTTTCCCTATTCCTCCATTTCTCTCCGGAAGTTCCAAAAGTTCAATTCCACATTTCTCCCAGAATTCACTCACACTCTCTGGAAACCCCATGCCCCTCCTTCGACTTCCACGAAGTTCCCTTTTAGACCCCAAAGTTCTTAGGGGCCCCTTTCACTAATTCCCTTGCATCTTCCAACCTCCCCCACGCCGGTCCCTCACCGAGTCCTGGCTGCTGCAGGACACGACGTGGCGGAGGCGAATCTCTGGCATGTCAAAGTCGGGGGCTTCGCCTGGACGGGAGGATGAAGAAGGGTCCTGGCTTGGGGGCGGGGAGGGAGGGCGCCCTGCGCGGGCTTAAGTGCGCAAGCGCGCGAAGCTTGGGCCTTTCAAACCGCGGCGCGCCGACGCTCGCGTCGACACCGCGCAAGCCCAGACGAATCTCTTCGGGAAGAGGCTCTGCGTTCCCTAGCAACAAGCTTTCTCTCCGGCCCCGCCTCTCTGATCCGACCACTCTCCAGCTCCGCTTCCTGATGACGTTAACACCTTGCTTTCCGGGCGCCTAGCAACTGGGGCAGCCTCAGGGATTGGTGCCTAAAAGAAACTCGCCATTCTCATTGGACGACGTAGTCACCGCCCCAACTGAAGCTTAGAAGGCAGTTCACACGGATCCTGGATCCTTGTGAAACAGGATCTCCTCCACCTGTTCTGCGGCTGCACTCTTCCTCTCCTTTCCCTGAACACACACACACACACACACACACACACACACACAC